TTGGAAATTTCCCCTCGTTAAACACGGCACGAGTGAAGAAAAAATTTTAAGGAACAAGTTGAATATGAGATGAACCGGAAGGTATTTCTTCATAGGGATTTGCTCCCGACGTGGTATTGATTGCTCTTAACCATACTACCGCGCCTTTGATGTTTCTTTGAAGTTAGGGACAAATAATATGTCCCTAACTGAATCAGAGACCATCGCCTATGGTAGTTGCGTCACGGTCTATTTAACATAGGTCATCCTAAGAATTGAACACAAATATCATAAATATGAATATCATCACTATCATCACACACTAAGTTCACACAAAATTAATACAATAAGAATTGTTCAAGTAGAAGAATATACATTAGAAGAACAATGTCAAAGGTAATATGTTTCTTTAATGTTAATTATCTTTTATCTCCTGCTGTTCAATAGAAAGAAAAAAAAAGAGATATTCTAAATGTCTATCAACAATAATAATCTTCAGAAAGAAATTGATAAGAGAATCCGACAAAAGATGAATCAATTTTAGAAAGGAAACTTATTGAGATTTCAATGTCGAAATTTTTAAAAGAAAGATAAAGACATAAACAGGTCAAAACGAAAGTAAACTGTGACAACATATAATTATATCCAATTCAAGTCATTATATTCTACATACAATATAATAAATATATAATCAAACAGTAGAAAAAACCTATTTCAATAGGATTACAAATCAGACAAACTTTTTAATTCAAAATCTTTATACATATATCATTTAAATATTAACTTTCTATCTTATCTTATAATCAGATAAACAAAAAAATAACCATTTTTCTTTCACAAATAATCAGTTGATTTTCAAAATACATTCTTATGATTATTTGTATACAAATTAAAAAGATTATCAAGATAAAAAATCTAATTGACATTTTTTTTCTCTCTCTCTCGGTAATCAATGGATATTTGTATATATATATATACATATTAATCGATATAATCTCTTACCTTTATGAATATGAATATTTTTTGATGGCGTGGGACACGAAAGACGATTATGATCTAATTTAATTGCTTGTGTATTTGCCGATATTGTTGTATCCATAAAAATACATTGATAGATTTCATTATGTTCTAATTGTGGTAATTTCGTTAAAGTTAGATTAATCTTTAGAAAATACAAATGAGAATTTAATGATAAAGAAGAGAAAAAAAATATATTATCATGATCAAATGACAAACCCATTGACTATTGTCAATTGAAGCTCTCAATGGTTGAACATTAACAATATGTGTACATTGATTACTCTCTTGTTGCCATGAATTCAAAGGACAATTATCAACCAATGTACATCTATCAATCAAAATAAAACTTGAACAAAAAAAAAAAAAAAAAAGAAACAAAAACCGAAAACACATTTTCTGTTTTTCTCTTCAACATAAAAGACGACACGTGCAAGAATAAACGGGTCATTCAACAAGTGGTAAATAAAGGTCACCCGCTGGCATTCTACGATACTTTATAATAGACAATGTGTCACTATGGGTTTATTTTAATTGCTATGGGGAAATACATTTGATGTGTCAATATTCATCGATTAAACCATCTATCTTGTCAATATTACTTTTGTTAAATTGACATGAGAAGTTTCTCTCTCTCTTTCTTTTCTTTTTTTTGTTTATGTGTGCATGTATGTCAATCTCAATGATCATCTTACCGTTGATTCAATGTACACCAACCACATAAAGGATTATTTGATGAAGATAAACACTCGTCACATGACAAACGTGATGTACAGTCACCCGAAAATGATATACGATAGATCTAAATGAACATTTTTTTTTTCTTTCTTTTATTTTCATTTATATTAAAAGACAAATTTCTTAATCAAACCTTTGATTCTGAAGCTAAAAAAAATGTTTGAGTTTTGTTATCAAAAATAACATTTGAAAGTATTGATGATTGTGAAGATAATTGATATGAATAAAACCAATTTATATTAACTCCAAAATCGAATAGACCCTTAGAAGAAAAACAAAGAATTATTTTATCTTCTCAAGTATTTGTTTGTTCAATTCGTTATCATCAAACAACAATAAGAAGAAACAAAAAAAAGGCCAGATGTATAGTCTATGCGTGACAACCATTGTTTGATCATCATGAACAGAGAGTACCATGTCATCTGACCTTTTATTGATCGGTATACTTTAAGTAAAATGAAAAGAATAAATGTCTTAAGGCACTTTTTTTACTTAATTTGATTGATAGATAGAATACTTACTAACTTAAAAGTACCATTAGTTAAACCTTGAAAAATAAGATTTGATAAACCAAATGAATATATATGTAATGCACTAGAACTTTCTAGTAAATTTTCATAAAATAAATGACCAATAGCTGGTGTTGTACCACCAATTGGATATGGTAAACGATCATTAATTATCCAAGGACAAAGATTATCATTATTAATTGGTATTGACCAACTCTTCAAGAAAAAAAAAATAACGAAATAATTTATTTAAATATGAATTTTCATTTTTTTTTTTTTGTTCTTTTTTACTTCATCTTTTCTACATGGTTCATTTGGTTTAATAAATGCTAAACCTCGTTTTCCAATACCCATTGAATAACATGTACGATAATTATTTTCAAAAGCTCGATCAATATCATTTTGAATATTCCATAAACAAATATTTGTACCTCCACTACCATCTTTTCTAGTAAAATGTCCAATTAAAATTTTTTCATTATTATTATTTAAAAAAATTTCAGCTGTTTTTATAATCCATTCAGAATTAACACATATTAATGGTATTTCAATATATGTACGTATAATTGAATATGAATTATTACGACAAAAACGTATAATTTTTGTAAGAAAATATTTTTGTTCAATATCATTTGGTTGATTTGTTATAAAATAAATATAATTATTTGTATAAAATGAATATATATATTGAACAATAAATCTTGTTTGTTGTCTTGACATAAAACGTAATGATAAATCATCACGTGATATATTTTCATCATCATTTGTTGATAAAATTTTCATAAAACGAGATATATTTAATGATCGTCCTGATATATTTGGTATTTGCCAACGATATGTACCTTCATTTGTATATGTAACACCAAAATAAATTAAATTTTTTTCTGGTATTATTAATGATATTGTACTATTTATTGGATCATTAGCAACAATTGGTAATGATGAATTAATAATAAGATTTAAATTTTGATCTAATATTTGACATGTACCTTGATTTATTGTTCCACATAAAAGTATATTTTCATTATGAATTGTTAATAAAATTTTAATATGATTATTTATATTACATTGTATACATGATAGATTATTATTATTATTATTATT